CCTTTCCTTTCCTTTCCTTTCCTTTCCCTCCCTCCCTCTTTCCTTTCCTTTCCTTTCCTTTCCTTTCCTTTCCTTTCCTTTCCTTTCCTTTCCTTTCCTTTCCTTCCCTTCCCTTCCCTTCCCTTCCCTTCCCTTCCCTTCCCTTCCCTTCCCTTCCCTCCTTCAATATGGCCTCAGGTAGGCCTCCTCAGCTCTGGACCTAGCCCCCTCCATCATTTTCCTGGTGCTATACGGATGATTCTAGAGGGGATGTAGCCCTCAGCATGAAAAATGGCTGCCCAGCCGAGTCTTAAATAGAAGCAGAGAGGAACAATATGGTGTCATTTGTTCAGTTTCCAGTCCCATTTTCATACTGGCAGGAATTCCACTGCAAGAAATATTCAACTCAAGCAACTTGTTATGCCAAGCCTCACTTGTGCTGCTTGAAAAACCCAAAGCATAAGGCCTCCAATATGCTACAGATGACAATTTTATCCCCCCTCCCAATCTACACAAAAGGATGTTAACTATGCAATATGTTTCCATAGCAATCCTAACACTTCATGTTTATATGAATGCGACCACCTTTGGATCACTTGTCAGTCTTGGCTTCACTTATTGTAAGCTATATCCGTTATTTCTGTTCAGTCAGTAAAGTGTTTCGTGATACTCTGAGGACTGTTGTATCAAAATAAATTGTACGGAATCTATGCTTTGACTCATTTCTTTACGCAAGAAAAATCAATTTCATGTAACACGGGGGAAACAAGCCACACGGAGGATGTTCATAACCTGTGTAGCAAGATGCAATTAAAGATTTGCTTGCACAGAATATAGGAGGAAATGAGAACGTACAAAAGTACTTGTCAAAGCCACTTTTAAGTTTTACAGTCCAGAATATAAGGCACAGTTTGCAACACAGAGAAGAGCACTTTCAACAGTTAGCTTGACCTTCTTCCTGCCATTCATGGCTAAAGGTGGAATTGGATATTAAACAGAACCAGGGTTTCCCAAGAAGAAGGCATTCCATTATCTCATTCTCCAGTTCTTCTCTGTAGCAGCTAGACATAGAAATATGAGTGGCACGAATCTGCCATTTTTCCTGCCCTGAGCCAAAAGCCTAACCGAAGCAGAGCTAGTCAAAATCAGGTTGATGACATCATGCATTTCATATTCATAGGTATTATAATACAGAAGAAAAAAAGGACACTCATGGCTACTGCTTTCTGTGGTAGTCATGTGACTCTTCTACCATTTAGTTTTTCTCGCTTTTCTCACTTTTCTCACTCAACAGCAGAAGAAATTCCAATAAGGTTGAAATAGATTGAGAAAACTCCTTTAAGGCAGGATATTGGAAGAGCGGAACAGAACTTTTGTAAATCATGTCATTTGGAGCTTATTAAAAATGCAAATTCAGAAACTATGCTGAATATTTTAATGGCATTTTCAGATCGCAACAAGGACAAACACTGAACATCTGAAAAACACAATCACCAGAATATCAGTAAACAAAAATAAACAAAAAAACAAGTAAGTGGTTGTACATGGAGATACAGTATAAGGATCTCTTCCTCAGAGGAAGCTGGTTTTCAAAATCTTAAGCATCAAACCAGATTCTTCCGGTTCTGAAACAGTTACTGTACATTTTTATCTTCAAAAAATAATGTGCACTCTTTAAAGAACATGTATACATAGAGAAAAAGACAGACACAGGTTTTTGTGATTTGCCCAGTGATACAGCCATCTTCTCTAAAATGAGGTCTCAAAATTGAAAATATGCAACAATTACTCCCCCTCCATGTGAAATACAAGACACAAATAAATACCCTCACACAATAGTTGCTAGAAACATTTGAGGTGGAGATCATAAGAAGTGAAATGTATGACCATTAACCATGTTCATCAGTAAAGCTTCATCCCTTGGTGGCTCTGTTGCCTCCATAAAACACTCGAGATACAGTAGATAAGCAACTAGCTAGTTCCTCAAAAATTAGCCACACTTTATGGCTTAGGAGAGAACAAGCACGCAGCTTTCTCTGCTGTGAAAGGTTGGTTCTTTGGCCAACAGCAGCTAGTGATAATCTCATGCACCTCTACTATTTTATTGTGTTTTAAAATCTTAGAAATCCCAATCATGTGCCCTGCCCATGCAAATGAAATGCACTCCCCACCCTCTTAAACAACAACAACAAAAATTAGATAAACCCATTCATTAGGGAAGGACCATGCAATGAAACCAGATTTCCCTAATGGGATTTGACAAGGCCACGTAACTAAGGGAGCTTCTTGCTCTCAAGGTTTATATGAGTTCAAGAAGCCATTTGTCAAGGAGCACAAAAATAAAAACACCAGTACATGTGTTCTGTCGTTGTGGCTTGTCCTAGTATCAGTGCAAAAACAAAAACAAAGTCAAGGGGGTGAACTAGTACGGTTGTTTCTCTCCCGCTGCAGGATTTTCCCTCCAGTCACTCCATCTGGCAAGATTCAGACTGAATTGCAAACACTGCAAAATAGTACTACTACTACTAACAAAATGCACAACAAAGCTATCCATAGCTCATACAAGTCTTGCTCTTGTAAGTCATTATTTGCTTAACAGTGTACATTTGATAATCATCAGAAGCCTCAATTATTAGCTCACCAGCCATGTAAGATTCTATATACATCTTATCTAAACTCTCTTCTAAGATATCCATAACCAATGCATCGTCATCCTATCATTTTATATCTCCACTTGCTTCTAGGATTTCAGTTCCCTCATAAATGGTGCTCCTGGCTCCCATCCTATTTATTCTGTTCTCTATGTAGGTCTGCCTCTGAAATTCTTACTTTGCAGAACTATTGGAAGAGAACATTGGCCAAAGAAAAATGGGGTAGTCAAAGCAGTATTAACTCAGGATGCCCTACTGCAGGACTTGCACCTGAAGGCCACACCAAGGCTAATGTGGCATGCCTAAGTCAGCCCTTGATAAGTGGGTGGGGCCTGGTCCTTATGTGGGAGGTGGTCACAGAGTTTAAAGAGATGGAATAAAGGTTTTCAGCATCTGCAAGGAATAAGACACCATTTCTGCCTCTTAAGATATCTCAAAACACCAACAAACAGGCACACTTTTTTGACCCCATTTACTCAAAAAAGTGCCCTGTTGCCCACAAAGGAGATATTAGCAGGCCATACGAGGCCCCCAAGCTACACTTTCTACATCTCTGGTTTATGGAAATTAATTTTAAACTCTTTGTTAAACAATCGGTGTGCCACTCTGGAGATATTGATAGACAGTAAAGAGAGCTGTTTTCTGCCTTCATCTGTGAAGGAATTTTCAATACAACTTCCAGTCCTTCCTTCCAACTGGTAGCTATCAAATGTGCTTGCAAATATGAATTAAGCACGCCAACCTGACAGCACAATATAAGTAGGCTAAAACCCACGTAGGATGTGCTGGAGTAAAATTTAAGGAAAGCATACAGAATTGTGTAGAACAATACAGAGACTGTATTTTTTTTAAAGTTATTTTTTCAGCATGGTAAAGTTTTATTAAACTTGCTACAATTTTAGCTTAAAATTTGGTAAGCTGTCTTCTACTCCTTAAGACAGCATGTCAGAATGAGGTACAATCTATCTTATCCAAGTTGAACAGCAAGAGTCAAAAGCAGCCCCACATTCATTGTTGAGGTAGTGCTCTCAGTTACAATGGCCATAATTCAGAATACTGTATTAGGCAGACCAAGGGACTGTATGCACCCAGTAAGGTTATTTTGCTTTCCTTTTCTGAACAGCAAGCTTGTCTCCAACCGCGCCAGCCACAACAACCAACCATCCCATAGAAAGATTTTGAAAAATCTGTTGTTTTCAAGAATGGTCATTAAATGAGAGAGGGAAGGGAGAGAAACAATGCTGCTTTTACTGCAGAATGATATGGCTGTTTGGAACGTGGCCTTTGTGTCATCATTGGCTCAAACAGAATTATGACGGGAAAACTCCCATGTTAATTTATATTAAAACACAGGTGTATTTTAATAAAAACAAGCAAAATAACAAGATTTATTCACCGGCTTTAAAATATTCACAAAAATCTAGTTATGTAAATCCTTCTTAGATACAGGTCTCACATTCTCTAGGAAATGTCGTTGGACACTTGGGGTTTATAACAGTTGCTATAAACTAAAGTGCTTTAAGAACTTGTTCAGATTTCCATGATTGTAAAATATTGTTGTTTGCCTTATGTGAGAATCTGAAACACAGATTGTTTCCTCAGTCCAGGAGGGTAATAATTTAAATAGGTCTTGAAATGTATAGGAGTATTCCCAATATGGCAATCCAACATTTTATATCTGATACATAAAGTTATTTATCGTTTCCTTCCCTAACCCTTATTTTTAATTCAGTAACTAAGTATATTGGGAGTTGGAATTAATACTATATTTGAGTCTTCAGGTCAGACTGTATATAGTCGCAAGAAAAGCTCAGCTACACATTGCAGTAAACCCCTCCGTCCTTCATCTTAAAGATTAGCCTTATATTCTCTTTTAACCACAGGGCAAATGTGTAATGTGATGGAGGAAAGGCTGACTACATATTTTTCACAATAAGTACATAGAATTCATATTTAAGCTGAACTTAATGCCCTAATGTTCAACTAGGCTGAGTAACTTGCGAACATATATGTTCCATAGGGAAGCTAAGCATCCTTCTAGACACCAGTGGATGTCAAGATAAAAAAGTTCATACACAAGAACCTAACTTCTTTGAAAAAGTCACATTTTTTTCTGTACATTTCATGCAACTGTGCACAATGCAGTAACAATATTTGCAATTCCACACACACCCCCCTTCAAGGTGCACCTTTTACACTGACTGCAGCTTACGGGAAAGTCTGCACAAAGTCTATGGCAATAAAACTGGGCGGGGGGGGAAGGAAAGCTTCTCATTTTTCCTGAAGCAAAGCAGGGATGTTGATGTTCCACCCAATAGCCTGGCGATCAAATCCGCAAGTGAACAGATTGCATATTGGATGATCTTCACTCCATGCTGAACAGCAAACCATTCTTCTATGACCCTGTCACAGCAAAAAGAACTGTGTTAGACTTTGCTTTGTTCTTTTTTTCTCTCCTTTTGGGCCATACACACTACCAAAATCTGCTATTTCCAACATGCATCCCAAGACAGATTATTGACCATAGAAAACTAATCAAGGAATTAGTGATGCCTTGCAAGTAAAATTGTATTTTATGTTGTAGATAACTCCGGCCAACATTACGGCTCAAATGAAATCAGGAACACCAGTGTCTGGGAATTTGGGCAACAGAAGTAGTCCCTAGAAGTTTTTAAAAAGTAGAAGTTGTTCAGGTTTTTAAAATATAGAGCATTAGAACAAAGTAAAATAAAAAACAAACAAAAAACAAAAGTCAAGGTTAAGCAATTTCAACATTTTTCAGTTCTAGTTATTTAATGAGCAAGTTAAGCAAATATGCTGAAATAAATTTTAAACACCTGGTTTGGGCTGAAATCTATGTGCATGGAATGTCCACATTAAAAGTGTACCCATCCTTCCCCAACCTAGTGTATTGTAACTGCAATTCTCAATATGAACACTGTAGGTTAAAATTAATACGTTGTACTTTTTAGATGTAAAAGTATGCCGAATATGCTTTGTTGTACGCCACCCAGAGTCGCCTGTGGTGAGATGGGCAGCTATATAAATTGGTTTAATAAATAATAATAAATAAATAAAAAGCACATACAGTACTGATACATTCAGAAACTAGTGACTGGGTTTAGCACCTTCTTAGGAGATATTTTATAACTAACCACAAGTTGTTCCAATGTAGTAAGTTAAAGAGCCTTGATACTTGGCTGTAAGAATGACTTTATCCAATTGACCAACTTAGTCCCAGTCCAACATTTTAGCTGGCATTATATACAGTTCTCAACTACTCAGAGGGGACTTTGGACGTATCATCTTCTTTCAGCCCAACCTACTCACAAGGTTGTTGTGAGTATAAAAATATAGGTGACCATATAAACTGCTTGAGCTTCAGCAAAAGGTTGAATACAAATGTAAATAAATACATAATCAGATCATAGAAATAACCTCACACACTTGTAAACCTAGATTATTAACCCATGAAAACAGAAGCAAAGCAAATTCTTATTCCAGAAAATGGAACAAAGTAGGGCTTTTGTTCACAATTCACAAAGCATTTCCAAGTAGTTCCTGCATTATTTAAGACCCTTAGTACATAAAAAGTAGGAAGCTGAAAAAAAAAATAATGGGACAATGCCAGTCACATTTTTCACCACTGTACCTAAGGAACTATCAAATAAAATGGCTTCACCTGGATCTGGAAGAAATCAGGTTTAGCTTCAACTGAATCTCTATACTGAGACAGTTCCAACCTTTCTTATCATCAATGTGATGAGGGCGGTGGTGGGTAGATACCAAAAAGCTTCACTGAAGAAGATCTGGGTAGCTAGACTACTACTTGTCATTTGGGACAAGGGATCTTCTTGAATGGGATCTTCTCATATGGTGATCCTTGTGGTAGGCTCAACCTTTTAGAGCTTTAAAACATGAATGAGCCATCTCTGAATCCTGTTTCTGTTACTCCCCCTGACCAATACTACTGCATATCAGCAGCACAATTTCCAGCCCTTTTGAGACAGGGAACAGCCTACAGCTGAAGCCTTAAATCTGTGTTTCCCAACCTTGGCAACTTTAAGGCATGTGGACTTCAACTCACAGAATTCCCCAGTAGCCATGCTGGCTGGAGAATTCTAGGAGTTGAAGTCCACATGTCTTAAAGTTGCCAAGGTTGGGAAACACTGCCTTAAATCCATAGAGACAATACTTTGCAACGCCAACCAAAGTTAAAGAAAACATTTACAAGCTTTCAAGGAGAAAACCAAGAATCTTGACCTTGTTCACATACATGACACTGTCTTGTCCATTGCATCATTGTCCGTTGCAGCCCCTAGGCTCCTAAAAGTATTAAATGCAGCTCTGGCAAACCAAGAGGCTCCCCATGCCTGCTTTAAAAGGTAAGACCAGTTAGAATTAAGTCCAAAACAAACTGGGTATCAATCCAGTTGTTTTTAGTTTGCAATTAGGTAACAATTAATATATACTAGAGGAAAGGAGTACAAATGTTTTTAGTCCAATGGCAACTGGATGCTCAACAACCTGCTATCTTTCAACTAAATAATAAATATTGTGTAACATTCAGAAAAAGAAAAGGGGAGAATGAGAGAGATGTTAAAGAAATAGTTAAAGTTCTGCTACCTGTCTGTTGCTGCGAGGAAGACGTGCTAATCGCACTCCAGACATGTCAAATAATCTAACCTGTCGGTTGTCATGTGGAAGGGCAATGATTTTTTGGCCGACACAAACATTAATCCTGTGCAGAGGAGATAAAAAAAATAAATTAGAGAGCCTGCCAGGAATTGACACTAGTTCAAGGCCACTGAAAGTGATTTAATTGGAATTTCATGCTACACACATTTCCCACAAATATAATTTTATTTTCTGCAAAGGAAAAAGATGATTTGTTTCTGGTGATGATGGTATCATTGACATTCACAGAGACATCACCAGATGCACCCCACAGCCCTTTGCCAAAGACAGAAAAACCCACTGAAGCTCACACTTATCCAGTCTAGGACCATCCTGATTCCCTTTAGAAAGAAAACCCTCTGGAGTTGGGACCTGATGGAATGAGCACTAGGAGTCTCTACTAAAATCATGAATATAAAAGTTGCATGCTCAATTCATCTGAAGTACTTTAACTGTGTAGACCTTAACAACTTTAAGACATGTGGACTTCAACTCCCAGAATTCCCCAGCCAGCTATGTTTTTTAGGCTTTTCTGAAGAAAGATGGGAAATCAATCCAAAATAGCCATTCAAACCACAAATCCATGTTCCTTCTCAATTACTCAGCATTCATACTCTTCATAATTCCCTTATGCAGAAGAGGCTAGAACAGCAACCACTGCTACAAAATACCACAACTGATTAGACAAAATCAGTCCCCATGGCTGGCTGGGGAATTCTGGGAGTTGAAGTCCACCCATCTTAAAGTTGCCAAGGTTGAGAGACACTGGTCTACCAGATTAAATGGACTGCTTTGGCTTACCTGTTTACTGCAGAGTCTGTGCGAATAGTGGCAATGGGTGATCTCATATTTTTCAAGTCCCAAACTTTCACAGTACGATCGTCACTACCTGAAACCACATTGTCCCCCACAGTGAAAACAGCTGAAGTCACAGTGCTTGAAAGAAAGAATTTAGAGCCACGGTTAGTAATGTTACCTAGAATATAGTGACAATTTTAAACCTACCACCATCACTATTTTGAGAAACAGCAAGGAACATTATTGACATGGAAGCACAATAGCTTATAATGAGCTGCTGGACTCTGGGTTCAATTATGAACCCTAACTGGCATGTAGTTTAATAATCTTAACATAATAAGACATGCTAAAGTAATAGCCTCTTTCACACAAAAGAAGGGATATAATCTTGTAACTGCATGCCACATCACACACTTATATTATGTATAGTCTTTCCTATACAGAAAGGGTATGTGACACTCATTTATTTTTTGTTATGATACTGGTCTATTTAAAATTAAGACATTAAAGAAAATATCTGCTATGTTTGAATCACAGTGAATAAACAAAGGATAAAAATATTTAATCTCAGAAACCAGAAATATATTAACCATTACATCTGAAAAGATAATAACTGGGGTTTTAAGTTATTTCTTTCATCTTAGTCTGCCAAGCTTCTTGCTTGCTCCCACCTACACAGCATGCTAACGAAGCACTTTGGTTTCCTTCCCTGGTTCATTACAGTCTGCTTCTCAGCTCAATTTCTATGGATCGCATTTAATGACCTATCCTGTTATAGCTTGGGGTCACACACGTCAATTGCATGGAATTTAGTAATTTTAATTTAAAGTGTCAAGTTGCTCCTGTCACTTCTATTGTACTGTGAGAATCTGACTTCATGTTGTATTCAGCCTACTGATTGAGATTAGTATTACCCAAGCCACAATGGACTAGTATGTGCAAGGCCTCTTAATTTAAATTGACATCAAATTAAAGTCTAATTAGATCCAAATACCATTGTGTCAGTGGTATGAAGTTTTTAAATGCTGCATCAGAGTGCCACTGAGCTGGTCAGGGTAATTACGTGGCATGAACTAGAGGTCTTCAGAGCCCAATTATATAAGCCTTTGTGTCTGAACTGGCATGGGGGCATAAGCAATTATAAATGGCCCCTGGTACCAAGGAAGATCTCCAGAATTACTACACATTCAGAGCTCCTTGAATATTGAATGTCCCAAAATATATGCATTAAGTACTGTATATTCATACAAGCAGAAGACTCCGCTGTTCTGACAATCGATTTGATTCCTTCATCATGCATTACAATTATTCATCAAGTTAAGTCTTAAAAGCTTGTTCCTTCCAAGCAGCCATTCAAAGGTCTTTTGAACTTCTGCCCTGAAATGGGAATGATTTTAACCTTTCCATTTCTTTGCATTTACATTTAAATTTTCTATACATTCTTATGGGAAGTAATTTTGTCCTCTATAAAACAGATAAAATCCTGTCAATCCCAATAAAATAATGACTTCCCATTTTGTGTTTTAAGTTTGTGGTTTTATCAGAGACCTTGTCAAGCAGGGCAATAGACCAAACCTTATCCAACCATTTTTTCTCAAGCAAAAGATTATCTAGATATTTCCAGTGGTAACCAATCAGAGCCTTTGCTGCTTAAAGCAGTGAGATAATACGTTTCTTGTTTTGAAACTTTTAATACCTTCCATCAAGTATAGGTAATATGGGCTAAATTTGGTACAAGTTCAACCCTTTGTTTGGTTATTGCTATCATTCTATTAAAGGAGATTACAGTTCTATTCCATGAAATCTGAATTCCATCTTATGCTGTTTTGACACAGAATGAAATTGCACCTCAAGCTTTGGAAAGAAATGTAGGTATTTAGTGGCATTTCGAGGCCACTCCCAATCCCAAAGGACTCCAGATGTCAAACAATAAAACAACAATACAATTAAAACAAACAACTAACCCAAGAAAATTCCTATTAAAAAACCCCAAAACATTAATATGTGGATTACACTTGGCTCACATCTCACGATCTGAGAGAAGCAGTAAATTTGACAAATTAGGAACAAGTCAGGGAAAATAAGATGAAATTCAATCCAAGTAAATGATTCTCCCCAAGAGACAATTTGAAGGTGGCCTTTGATCTATCAATTTCCTCAGATGCCAAGGAATATTTTTTAAAGGTTGCGAACTGATTACCGATTATGGCCTTTCCCAGTGATCTAGCCTAAATTATCTCTGGGTCCATGGAACTCCAGCAATGATCTCTCTGTGGGAGTGTATTTGGAAATGTTAAATGAACAAAATATGGATTATCATACTCCAATCTTACAGCACTTGCACAACCAGCCAGTTGATGTTTGGGCTCAGTTTAAATTCTGAGTTTAGCCTTTGAAGCCCTAAATAGGTTGAAGCCAAGCTTTAAGAAACAAAGGAACAGAAAATCTGAAGGATGATCTAGGGAAAAAATGCATATTGGAAATGGAAGTTAGATACATGACCAGATGGCAGACATGGCAAATACAGATACCATCAGGTTTTACCAAAATTAAGAAACACCGAAATAGGAAGCAATAATCAAACTATTTCACTATTTCTAAAGAAGGGGCAAACAATGGTGAAAGAAGAAAGCAACCATCACTCCCCCTACTTTACACCATAAGAAACAAAACTGACACGGGGCAGATGATAAAGAGGCTGTGCAAGGGGAAATTAACCACTAAGCCCCCGACTGAGATCAATACAAAGCATTAAACCAACCGAAACTGCAATTAGATAACATTTAATTTAACAGCATGTGGCACTGAATAGCCTTTATTTTTTATTATATATCTATATATCTATATATATATCTATATCTACACACACAGGCTATTTATTCTCGAGCCTGAACCAATCCACCTTTGAGGATTATGGACTGCAATCTACCATGCAGGTCCAATGCAGGTTGGTAGACCATTACTCCCCCGTTGAGAGAGTCACTAGCCCAAAGTCACCCTTCCGTACCCAAGGGAGGACTAGAACCTGGGTCTCCCCACTCCTAGACCAGCACCTTAACCAGTATACTACACTGGCTCTCATAAACAGATACAACAACAGACCCAGACCCTGATAAAGATATAGATAGAAAAATAAAAAAAAATATTCACAGAAGACAAGAGCTGCAGTTTCATTTTATTAATAAGAGGGGGGGAAATGCTACACATTAACTCTGAAAAATACTGGCAGAATGTAGAGCAGCCATGAATTTTACTTTGCAGGGGGTGGTCCTCTTTCTGAAGGGCTGAGTCCAAGTCTGGTTTAAAGATAAAACATCTTAGGAAGGAAGAAAGGATCTGCAAGAGGACCATCAACCTCAACAGGAGACCAAACAAATGCCATAGTCTTTCCTATAACCATGTAAGATATGCATCATATATATATATATATGATATATAGAGATATAGATATAGATATAGATATATAGATATATAGATATAGATA